TAGCGGTGTGTGTAATATATATAGATATATACACACACACACACACACACACACACACACACACACACATTTATTTATTTATTCCGGAATTTTCAGAAAAGTCCACTTTCATCTCTGTGTCTGGTCTACATCGAATTAACATGTTGCAGACTTTGCGGATGGCCAATGTCGCCTGGGCGCGACGGGTGTTCTCAACTCGTCTTTTGTTGTTCAACCGCGGTTCCCGAATTATTCGTTCCCCTTTTGTGACCGAGCTTCGCCCTCTCCCCTGTGGTCGCCCACCTGCATTGACGTGCTAATTGTGGACTTCAACCGTCCTCCGGCCAGGTGGCCGGCACCTTTGTGTACAGGCAGTTGGGGGTGCTGGATATGCACCCAAACGTTTAGATGTGCCCAAATTAAATGAAACTTTAAACATGATACAATTTTGCTCATAGATTCCTCTAACAGTAAGGGATCAGCCAGGATCATGCTGCAGAAGAGGTAGAAGTAGAGTTGGAGGGATGCATGACAAGAGTTGTGGAGTTGCATGGAGTTAGTCGAAAGCGCATTTGAACCAGTAGTTATGTAGAAGTCAAAACAAACTGTTTTGTGAAAATTTTGTAGAGGGTACAACGAAATAATTTATTTCTTAACCGCAAAATGAATTTATAGTGATCAATTGGCGCGATGTGTGCGCCAAGTTTCATGTTTGTGCAAATGTCAATGCCATCTAAATCCGCATAATTTTTCATGGCAAACACGTCTTTCTGTAATATGGCTGCCGATGTGGCAGGTTGTTTTTTTTTTTTTTCATTTTTATGTATGCATTTGTTTATTTATTTATTTTTTTATTTTTTGGGGGTGGGAGGGATATACAGTATTTTGGAAAAACCCACAAAGAACTGCAGCCGGAAAATGTGATGTGTGAAGCGTCGAGGGATCACTGTAAACTGTTAATGTAAAGCAGCCTTCCTCAACTGGCGGACCGCGATCCACGACCGGACCGCCGACCTCCTCTGTCCGGACCTCCTCTGTCCGGACCCTCGGCAAATTGTATAAAATAATAAATTATAAAGTGATTTTTACGTTATACATTTTATATTTGTGGACTATAATCTGCGCATTACCGCGATCGCTTGTTAAAATTATCCGTTGTATTCTTTGCGTGCACTAACAGATGTATTGCAGAGGACCGCAGCAACGCGACTGTGTGTTGTATAATGTTTGACTAACTGGAGACCCTGGCTGAGCAGGGCATGTCGGCGATAACGA